GAAAATCAGGGAGCCCAATGCCCCTTCATTAATGAATTTCGCCGAAATCATATTCAGGATCCTTATTTCATGTATATTCCTGAATTGAGATGTATCGGGCTCTCTTGGACCTGAGCGGCAAAACCAAAGCATTTGGAAGCTATGAGCCTGGATTTCGGTGGCTCTACGCTCCTTGATGAAGCGCACCTACCAGGGTTGCGATCTGGTAGATTAGGGTTTAGGGCTTGGGATTCCTCAGTCGCAAGGGCGCGAATTGGTAGATAGAAGGACCAACAATTTTGGATTTTGCGGGGGTGCGTAGTCTGATCAGGGACGAAGCAGGCCATCCAGTTTTGGCAGCAGCCAGGGTAAGGTTGGGGGCCCTACACAAATCACTTTTTGGCTCTATAGGGATCATACAGGGCCCTAAGCCCTATCAGCGTAGCAAGTAATTCGAATTATTATCCTGAAGGCCCGAGCATTTCTCCGGGATTAGCTGGCTGTGCTACAACCCTAAAACCGCTTGACCCTCGACCCTAAACCCCTAAACCCTAAAAGCCCTAAACCCTCAACCGTAAACCCCTACACCCTAAAACTCTCAACCCTAAAGGTACTCTATACCAGCAGGTTGATATGTAATTCTATTTGCTCAAGTTATGCCCTCCCAGATTGGCGTGCGACACGGCTATCCTAACTAAAGCCCCACTTCCACCTACTCCTTACTTGGAGGGTCAAGGGGACTTAGTAATTGGGCTAATAATGGAGAAGAAAATGGAAGCTTAATATTGGAAAAGAAAATGGAAACTCATTTGTTGTTTGGGGGTTTCGAGAAGTGTGCCAAGTTTTTTATTTTAGGTTTAGGGTATAAGGTTTGGGGTTTATAAGGTTCAGAAGGACTCAGTAAGTAGATTAATAGTCCCTGTAACCCACCTAACAACCTGAGTTATCCCCCCTATTGACCGACTTACTAAGCACCCTGACCCCAAGTACTCATGAAGCTTCAGGTACTCTCTGCGGAATCCGGCATCAATCTGATGACGGTTGACCTTTGCTGTAGGCTGCTGGTGGGCAATCTCCGAGGCCATAAGCCCCGAACTCTTGCAGCCCTTCACCCCTGTTGTGCCGGGAAGTGGGGAATCATAATCGCGGTAATGGGTTTTCAATAAACACAGAGCACATGCTCCATGATCGAACGCTTTAGAGTTGAGTGCGGTTTGCCTTTCTGCCTTCCATTTTTCCAGAACCTCCTTGCTAAGCCCTCTAGGCTTCAAATACTCGCCATCCCTATACTCCTTAAACCGACTTGTGTCCTGCCCTTAGACCCAAAACAGCTGCAAAGCCTAAACCCATGAATGCCAAATCACCCTACAGTCCCCCTTAAGTAGATAGAATTTGCGATATATGGGGATCTTATTATAATCTACACTAAGCCATAGACTATGAGCCGCTTCCCATCAGCCCCATCCCCTCCCCACCAACTTCATGAGCTCCGCCAGGCTCAGGGCACCGGAGCGATCCACATCGACCTCTCAACTCAGACAGGATGGTTCCAGGCATCCCGTGGAAGTTTACGAGATTACGTGTGCAAAGGAGTTCTTAAGATTCCCTCCCCACTACTCAAAGGCGCTGCTTGCAAAGTGCTTAGGAACAGTGCCTTTTTCAGTGCCAGTCCCTGACCAAACGCCAGAAAATTCAGGATCAACGCGCTCACCTACACCTTTAGAGGCCTTCAAGCTGCAGTACGTTGCGAGCGATTGCTTGGGGAATGGTCGCTAAATTTACTACAGTGCTGCAAGATTGGCTTGTTCAACTTGACTTGCAAACCAGAAGTGCGCATGCTTGAACAGACTAGGAGTGTCAACAAATGGCACCCAGCCGCTTGTGTAGCTCTGCCAGGTGTTATTAAGTATCACTCCGCGTGCTCTCTTCTCTTCACATGTTGTGCTGGTCTTGTGGTGGTTGGTAATCAGTGCTGGCCCTGATAAGTCCTGTGGCAAGTCCTTGCGCCATCATGTCTTTTTTGGGATGGAGAAGGGGCCCTAGCAACAACACTGAACCAGCTAGGGATAACCCTACAACCGCTTACATTGCCTGAAAACCACTTAATGCTAACCTACCGTTACTAAAGGGGATGACGATCGTATATTTCCCCTGGCCAGAAAAACTCTGGAAGACAACTTTTGCTTTGTAACAAGATTGGAGCCCGAGAGCCTGCAAACAAGTTTCATCGGCACTAAAGTACCAGTCACAATAATGTTATTGTTCGCCTGAAGATATCACGATTGGAATAGGTTTCCAACTGCTTGTAAGAATAGTGCTACAACCTGCAATACCTTACCACCCACCCCACCCCCGCTTCATCATTGCACATCCCCCCCGCATCTGCACACCAAA